AGGAAAGGAACCTTTTGGTTTATATATTTTTTTTAATACCTCAGTGCTGCAAGTATCACCAGAGAGGCTATGGAAGAATTTTTTTTTTAATTTATCGTAGATGTAAACAGAATTTTAAAAGTGAAAAGTATAAACATCACTGCACTGTGACTGGTGGGAAAAACTGACAATTTCCTGTTTGCACATGTTTAACATTTGGCTGTTATATGGTCCTCGGTTGGGGAAAGATACTTATGATAAAGGATATTTTTTTTTTTTTTTTTTTTTTGAAACAGAGCCCCACTTTTTTTTCCGGGCTAGAGTGAGTGCCGTGGCGTCAGCCTAGCTCACAGCAACCTCACACTCCTGGGCTCAAGCAATCCTCCTGCCTCAGCCTCCCGAGTAGCTGGGACTACAGGCATGCGCCACTATGCCCGGCTAATTTTTTATATATATATACATATATATGTATCTATCTATATATATATATGTCTCAAGCATCTTTCAGGTCTTTGTGTGTGGCTTTCTTAAAGCCCTGTTGTAAAAAAATTACTATGTGGATGGCAGTCTCTCACATCACAGATGTGGAAAGTATAATTTTATATTTGTATTTTCAAATAAATAAGTTTGTGAAAGGTTTCCATCCTCTACTGCGGTCCAGAAATCAATGTGTTTGTCTGACAAAAAAAAAATAAAATAAAATAAACTGTTTTGAACAGAAAAAAAAAACAAAAAAAACTAAAACTCCAGGTCTCAATTCCTAATTTAGTGCTTCTTATACCATACTATGTAAATATCTTTTATTACTAAATCACAATATTGTCCCTGAAGGCATGCAATAGGGGACTTCTTTGCATTGCCACTTTGAAGACTCAGTGCTCGCATACACTGGTCTCCTTCTACCCTCCAAATTTATTCACATATGAAAGACCCAATGATTATCAATTATTAATGTCTGTCCTCAGTAGCACACTAAGACATGAATATACAAGCAAGTGATTCCTACCCAGGGGGCTGCACCTAAGTTATATAAAGTGACTATCTTCATAGACTAAATCCTCTAGTGACTCCCTCCCCTCTTTTTTATTATTAGGGTTGCAACCACTCTGCTATATTTTTTTGCAGCTTTCTTAAAACATAACTGACACACAAGAAACTGCATGTTTAAAGTATACAAGTTTTAGTTTTGATCCATGTATACACTCATGAAACAGTGTCCAGAATTAAGATAATAAACATATCCATAACCCCCCAAATGTTCCTCATTCCCTGTTATAATACATATTTCCCTTCCACCACCCTTGCCCTTGATGGCCCCTCCTTTCCTTCTTAATTTGGCTTGATAGTGTTAAAATGTTCCAACCCGGAAAAGAAGCTAGATTCTCTGGATCTGAGCCAAGAGTGGAAAACTTTCCTTGGGCTTTGCTTCACTTCTTTCTTTGAAAAGAAGCCAGATCTTCCCAAAGACCCTAGTTTGCAACTCCACACAAACAACTCCCAGATAAAATCAAGGGCCGTAAGAAAGGTACTGGGAGATTGGAATACTTGAATAAATTGCAAGGAGGATTCTAAAGTCTGAAAATTATTTGAGGATAAAATAAAAAAATGTTTGGGTGTTGAGCAGGTGGGAGTGGGAGGAGGGGACGGGTATATATATATATATACATCATGAGTGAGATGTGCACCATCTATCTGGGAGATGGTCACGTTTGAAGCTCAGGCTTGTGGGGGGAGGGAGGGCAAGGGCATTATTCGAAACCTTAAAATTTGTTCCCCATAATATGCTGAAATAAAAAAAATGTTTGGAGTGAAAATATATTTCTTTAAGAATATTCTTTTTTTTTTTTTTTTGAGACAGAGTCTCACTTTGTTGCCCAGGCTAGAGTGAGTGCCGTGGCGTCAGCCTAGCTCACAGCAACCTCAAATTCCTGGGCTCAAGCGATCCTCCTGCCTCAGCCTCCCGAGTAGCTGGGACTACAGGCATGCGCCACCATGCCCAGCTAATTTTTTCTATATATATGTTAGTTAGCCAATTAATTTCTTTCTATTTATAGTAGAGATGGGGTCTCACTAAGGCTGGTTTCGAACTCCTGACCTTAAGCAATCTGCCTGCCTCAGCATCCCAGAGTGCTAGGATTACCGGCGTGAGCCACCACGCCCGGTCAAGAATATTCTTAAGGAATATAATAAGAACAGCATAAATTTGAAAAGTAATGAAAAGAAGGAAACCCCTCATAATCCCACTACTGTAACTGAACACTGTCAGCCATTTGTTATGTTTTCATTCCTGCCTCTTCCCTTGCCAGAAAGAAAGTCTTTATTGAAGCCTATTTTGAATGCAGGTTTTAAGCTTTGGTGTTTAGACTTCTTTTCCCTACATACTTCCAGCATACACCACCGTAATCTAGCCATAAAATCATGGGGGTGTATGTTTTTCTCAGGTCTCAGAGAAAGAATTCGCATGTCTTCATAGAGAAGGTGGCTGCAATATGCTGTTAAAAACAAAGGCTGCATTTTTTTTGTTCTGTTTACAGATTTTACAGAATCAGAATCTATAAAAATAGGGAAATATCTCTTCTCCATGGAACGAAAGTTTACAACAAGAAAGAGGAGGTACTAGGAAAATTCAACTGCTATAGCGAAAGTTACATCTTTTGTGGAGTGGGATAAAGAAATTAAGTTTTGAGTGTACATAGGCAAGTAACACCCCTACTCTGTCCACACTACATTGGAAGGACACATTTCAATGTTGATTTTCTATTTTCAGCACTCTATATGACTTGTCAGCCAATTAGCATGCTATGTAGTCCACCCAAAATGTATTGGAGGCAGTCAGGTTGAGTAGAATGTGTTGTTCTGAGAGTCAAGAATCTTTGTGTAGTGCCTGGCACAGAGCAGGCACTCAATAAATATTCACTGAATCAGTGCACCTGAATTCTAGTCCTAGATTTTGCTGTCAACTTACTGGAAAGTCAGTAAATTTTTGCAGAAAATGGGAATTTAAATTTGTCTATCCTCATCACCATCCTCTAATACATAGACCTGGGCTAACAGAATTGGTTTACCAAAGATGTTTAAGCCCTTCTAGTCTCTAGTTTCTTAAACTACAAAATAGGAATAGAATTCTTGCATATCTCATCAGGCCAAATAATATAACAAGTGTACAAGTGCATTGAAAAATATAGAATATCATACACATATAAGGCATTATTAAGATTATTAGTATAAACCCCAAATTCACTGACCAGGAGGGTAAAGAAGCTGGAAAACAAAAGGCTAAGGCTGCATTCATAGGTGGTAATTACCCTTTGATTGGTGTTTAGGAAGCTGTGG